TATAAAACTCTAATTGGCACTTTGTATGACATTTCAAAGGCATTAAGTATTTCAGACCCATTAAGAAAATTGTTATTATTGTACAAGTCACTTTAAAAGAATAAATTTACCCACCAGGCTGTTAAAGCCAAAGTATTTCCTTTGAACAGTGAATAATCTGTAGTGACGTCCTTATACTTTTATACTGTAATTAGAATTAATAACTTAAATGTTGCAAGTATTGCTTCTAAATAGAACTACTGCTGTGTATTTTGTGAAGTTGATCTTTCTTAGGGTTGGAGATCAGCTTTTTTGGCAGCGTGATTCATTTCCTGGCTATATACTTTATTGTTCTGACTTACGCAGGAAAGGATGAACAAAATTTTGTAGGGCAATCTATAATCCTCACAAGTATTAAATTCTGTCAGTGTTTTTTTTTCTTGCGCATACATTTCCACTCCGTTGCGGCATTCTCATCTTCATTTTGAGGCTTCTCTATTCTAGATGTATCAGCTACTAATTGAGCATTTAGCGTAACACAGATATGATGTATACGGAAATGCATTCAAGAAAAGATCAAACCAGGAGGCTGCCTATCTGCAGTTGGACTTTAACCTGCTTGCTTTTAATAACTCTTAAATATAGATCCCAATGTATAGGCTTGGTGTGAATATCATTAAACCTTTCCCGCTGTTCCCTTACGCTTTGAATGTTCACTGATCTGTGAAGAGAGCAAATGGATAAATAAACTTAGACCTGGCAAATCAGAGAGATTTTAGAAATAGAGCTAATCTTGAATTTTCTTTAATGCAAAGATTTATGTTGCCTGGTATATTTATTTTTTTAAAACAAGAAGACAGAAATTAAAATACCACACATAAACTGACTAGCACTATTTTTTAATGAATTAAAAAGTGGTGGGGTTATTAACGTGTATCCTAGCCTGCTTGTCTTTCTACCTTCATTTCCCATTTGCTGGTAGTTGCATGAATTTTATTTGGCCTGAACCCCAGAGTACCAAAGAGAGGCAATGAAGAGAGAAGGCACCAAGGGAGAGGGACCCTAAGGGCTGAGATAATTGTTCCCGCCACTCACTTTAATCCACGTATTGTTTTTCTGAACCTTCCTTTTGGTGAGTGTTCAGCTATGTTCAGTGTTGCCAAAAAGCAAGGAAGATGAACGTTAAAAGGACTCTTTGGCTTGAGGCAACCAGAAGCCACTGGTGACCTTGTGAAATCAGGTCCTGTAGAAAGGTAAGGATACAGTTCAGATGTCTGCTGGGTGAGGTGTGAAGGGGGAGGTTGGGAAGGTTAGGAATTAGAATTTAGTGAAAGTGGGCCAGTCTGTCAAGAAGCTCAGCAACCATCACTAGAAGTGGAGCTCCTCAGGGCCCTGGTTACCAAGGAACCTCCTAGAGTTGTTCAGTGCACAACCTGAACAAACAGAAGCCAGGACCTAGTATTCATATTGTTTATTCTTTGCAACACCTAACACAAAACATGTCTGACATTGAGAGCTAATGAATGGTCCCTGGATAAGTGAAAGAAAGAACATACACAAAGGAGGGAAGAAAGGAGTTTTACGAAGAGTCTATTGATAAGAACCATGTTTATATTTTGAAGGTTATATAGAGTTTTTGTTCAATTTTATTTTGAGAATTAGGCAGAGTTAGAAAGAAACACAGTAATAATAATAATACAGCCTTGTACTAGCATGAAGACTGACGGCTTATAGAGTCTTTTTTTCATGTTCATTATCTATTTCTTCAAGGAAAAGTGCATCATAGGACATTTAGGAAATAATTGTAAATTAAAGAACATTGAAGGTGAGGCTTGAAATAAAAATGTAGAAGAAGTTCTTAAAGTAGATTTCTAACTAATGTTAACTCATGATGTTGTGTAACTAAAGAGAGAGACTAAACTACACCCAGGAGTGGCCCTGGATCAGAATGGGTAAGTAGAAGCACAGCATATATAGCCATTTATACATCATAAAATCATCCTGTTTCACCACAATTCCATGTGTATCTGAGCTGTGTACAGCTCGATGTAGTATTCTAGGCTTCCTATTTAAAAAGTTGCACCAGAGATCAGAAATTTTAAGAATTCCGAGAAGAGATATATAGATTATTAAAGACGAAAGAAATAGGATCTCTTATAAAATGTTCAAATGGAACTTTGGTAGACCCTTATTCATTGTGTTAGAATTCATGATGATTCACATAATATAGCTGCATAAGGGGAAGGGCTGATTTTAATAATTTCAATTGTAATTATCTTTAAGAAGAGAGATTTAAATTTGGCTCCAAGCATAACACCAGATCTTCATCAAATACTCTTTGGTTTATCTAGTTCGGCCTCCGTGAAGGGAAAGGGCATTCTAACAAAATTTTGGAGTGGTTAGTGCCTGACTTTTTGCAGCAAGGACAGAATGAAAAAAAACGCACCAACCCATTCAGACTAAGTAAGCAATGGAGGAGTTCATTTAAACAGGGGTTGTCAGAGGAAGTCATGGAATCTACTTCCCTGGAGAGTTTTTAAAATAGGCAAGGCACTCATCTTTCTGGGATACTTTCAGCCTGCAGAGTAGCTAAAGGACAGCCACAGGCCCTCTCAGGTTCCCTTCTACCTCTACAAGTCTCTAGGCTAAAACAATATCCCAGAAGGCCTCTTTGGCAGGGCAAGCTACAGTCACCCAGGCTCATGTCTATCTATGATATTTTCTCACTGCATGGAATGATAAGTATAGGAAGGAGGGTGGGGTCGGAAAGATTCCTCAACCACACTCTGTTGACATTGCCAAGACAGGCATTCCCTCTGCCAGCATTGGCTGAATGCAAGAGGGATGCCAGTTAGTACACGATGATCATGTTCGGTTGGATTTCATGTGTCCTATTGTCTTACGGTGTGTGGTATGTGTGTGTCTGAAAATAGGATAAGTAAAATGAATTAGAAAGAAAATTCAGTTAAAAATTAGGAAAACAAATGGGGAAAGAACCTGCATATTCTCTTGAGGTTAGACTCTAACATCAAGCATTCGATCCTAACATTTAGCATTTGATTTGAAAGGTTCCTTTTGGGTCCGAGGCCTATCCTATCCAGGATTGTGGTCTATCGTGAGCAGATGGGGTTTCCCTCTTAGAAAATGAGCTTGGTTCCAGTTTCCTAGAGCCTTTGGGTAATGGCCGGTTGCTCACAAGAGCTGAGGAGACAGCGTAGCTGACAGGCACAGTCAGAGGCAGCTTTAAATATCACGCACCCTATCATTTGGTGGGTGGGAGTGTTTGTCGCTCACTGTGCTTCCACTTCAACAAAGAAAGTGGTGGGTTGCTAGAAAACAAGGTTGCTCCATCTTAAGCATTATGCTGAATTCTTTTTAGAGAAGTGGGTTTTTAATGAAGAATTTTAGCTGAAAATATTTTCCAAATTTATTTAGAAAATTTATTTATCCAAGGAAAGTAATTTAAGCATTGTAGCAGGTAACTAGAATCTGTAGAATGAGAACAACTTTCTCTAACAAAAATCAATCTTCTTTATTCATCAAGTGGTCTCAGGTGCCCTGTGTGGGGTGGGGGCTTTGCCAATGCCACAGTTACACAGGCTGCTCAGAGAGACACTGGACCTGGCAACCTACTGCCCAGCTAATTTACAACCAGGTGACAGGTGGTGAAACTATGATTTTGTTCTTTTTAAATGGTTCTTTCTTTCCCATAAGTGCTGCTTTTTGGAAAGGTCACTTTCGTTTTCTTTAGGAAAATGAGCTTTTTCTTTCTCTCCCAAATGCTAAGTTGATGCCCTTCTCCAGAAGTCTTCCTATTAATTGAGTTGGCCTGAAGGTCATCAACTATAATCAATATGAAGGGTTGCTGCGAGGTGCTAATTGACACTACCAAAGAGGAATAGTGTCAACAATCAATAAAGAGGACAGAGCACTGGTAGATTTATGGCTTTGATTTTGAAAAGGTATGGGAATGCCCAGTGATGTTTTCCTCCCCCTTGGTACTCCTTTTGAATGTTAATGCTTTCTTGAAGATGATTTCAGACACACTGCTAGGATACTGCCTCTACTCACTGAAGCAGAATCCTCTGAAGAGTTGCTGAGGCAGAACTGAAATCATGGCTCACCTCAAAGAAGCAGCAGTATTGGCCGTTAACGATGCCTCATACAGAAAGACGGTGCTCCTTTAACTCGGGGTTTTAATGGGAAGTTTCTAAGCCTGAAACAACAGCTTTAGACCTGGGGTGTGCCATCAACTGCCTTGCAGCTACCACTGTCTACTGCTTTCACACAGCATGGTCGGGAAGAATGGAAACTAAAGAGGCTCGTAACTACCTGTAACTGTTCCACCAGGACATGGATCAAGTGTTTGTTCAGCCAGAGCCAGGTACTTGACCCAACCTGTATCTTTGACGGGCTAATTAATTGCTTTTCTCTAACTTTACAATTGATGCATGAGCAATCATCGCATACATGCCTTTCGGATCATAGTTCTGAATTTAGATAAGTCTAATTAAACAGTTGCCAGATAAAGTTGAGAAGAGAGGGGGTAAAATGTAATGATGCCTTTATTTTTAAAGCATGGTTAAGTTTATAGTGTTATTGATACTGGATGAAGAAGTAGTAAAACAGGCTTTTTTTTTCTCTCCTAAGCTGCAGTAATTTATTTCTGAAAGCTGTTTGCCCATTATCATATTTTTTTTTCAGTCACCTAAAACGTCCAACCTTCCAAAATGTAACGAGGATGTTCTGATTTGTTTACAAAGGATCACAACTCAACCACTCTTATTGATAGCATTGACTGTCCTTGGCTGATAAGCTGTGTGCAGCACTAGCCTTTTGAGGTATCAGCAAGTAGCTGTTTTCACTATGAAACACACAAAGAAAGACAAAGAAAGCCAAGTGAAACAGTAGGGCTTATGATTTGAAGTTAAAAGTTCCAGTTTGCCAAGGGTGCCTTCTGACACCACTGGTTCCTGACTGAGCACCCTCATGATATTTTCTGATGTTCTCAGCTAGGCAGCAGCCTTGCCCTGCAGTCTCTTAAAAATTCCTCAAGCAGATATTAGGAGGAAGATGAAGATGGAGAAGAAGTAAAGCTGAGATTGGGGCTGAGGCTGAAGAGAAAGGTCTCCTGTTGACCCAGAGCTTACAAGCAGCAGCGAGTTGAGAATAACAGGGTCCACTCCCAGCCCAAGCAGACGTGTCTGCAGGCTGACTTTGCAGGAACAAGCAGAGAACAGACTTCCAGTGCAGCAGTGGGGGCTGGCAACAGTTCTGAAACTGCCTGTTGACATTTGTAGCTGAAGACATCCTCATGTTTATAAAATCATTGTTCGTAGGCTTTCCCCTAGTAGACTTGAGTCTATGTTTTGAGAGTATAAAATAATATTTACCCTTAGTTGTCCTGTGAATTTTGAAGCATCAGGGCTATTGAATTGGAACAGGAGGACTGTTCTTAGAAAAAAAAAAAAAAAAAAAAAAACGTATAGACATTGTCGTGTGTTTATATGAGCCAAAAACAAGGGGAGTGGGAGGATTTAAAATCTATGAAACACCTAGAAAGAGCCAGGAAATCTTTACCTGAAGTTCTTTGCTGGTAAACAAGAGGGCCATGAATTATTTGAATTTATATGAAATATTTTATATCTTTGTGTGTATATCCTGTATTTACTGTTCACTAGAATAACACACAGAATTTCTAAAAGATTTGTAGGGGAATAATATTTGCTTATGTGGTGATTCCGTTGCTTAGATAATGAGGTGGCTTATGCAGATGGCTCACAATTGTGGTGGAGATGGATAACAGGATCATTTGGGAGATTTACACATCTAGGGTGGGTGAGTGGGTTGGAGAATGAAATGTACTTTGAGAGACTACAGTTATACAAACAGGAATGCAGCCCAGGCTTCCTTTAGTGCTAAAAGTAGAGAGGGATTCTATTTAGGCTCAGTATCAGGATGTGTATTACTTGAATCATTCAAAGCCATGTTAACATTTCCACAGTTAACTTCAGAACTGTTGCAGAATAATGCAGCATTTTGAGTAAGTTTGTCTCTGCCAGTCACTGCAAATTCAGTCCTGCCTAGCTAGGCAATTCCATTCCTAAGTCTACAGATTGGTCTCGCTAGTCTGCCAGATAAATATAAATAAGGTTCATAGTATATCTTTGTAGGATAAAGTGTCCTGTCCATCACATGTGAATGGAAACTGGACAAGCCCATGGGTGTCCTTGCTCAATGGATGGGCTGTTTTGACACCTACTTTTGAAACCATGTCAAGTCACATAACTAGGTTTCTGACCCAGAAGTTTTAAAAATTAGGTACCTCAATTACGTGGTTTAGGAGTACTTAAAATACAGACAGCCATTGCTTCACTGTGCCCTACAGGCCATTAATACCTGAGGGACAACACCTTCAGTTCATTCCAACATGCCAGTGAAAAACTTGGGATCTAACATCCTTTGGCGGTGGGATTGTGGGTGTGGGGGGCGCTACCTGTTTGGTAACTGATTTTTATAATTCTTAGCTGTTTATTTATAATTTTCATACCTTAGTGTGCTTGATCACATAATAGAAATGAAAAATATTTATCATTTTGCACAAAAATGGTGTAAAGAGAAAACACTCATTCATCCCCACCTATTTATCAAACCCCCACTATGTGCCAGGCAGGACTACACAGGTACTGTAACTATTAATATGATCGTTGCACCCTACTGCAAAAGGGTGGGCTCTTGAGATGATGACATGTAGAATCAAGTCCTTGTGTGTGGCTCCACAGAACAAGGTGTCCAATGCACTTAAGTAATTCTGTTTCTGTCACTAAAAAAAGAAAGAAAGAAAGAAAAGAAACATGTCATTGCTTTAAGATAATTTTCTTAAGAGAAAGTATTTTTTCCTTACTGTGAAATTGTATAATGAGATGCGAATGAAATAAAATGTCCAAGGGATCCAAGTCTGCGAAGGGTACATGTTGACATTAATAGTTTTCGTGTAAGACATTTGGATTCAGGATATTTTAAATGGCTGCCCTTCCACACCAAAAAGTAGATTAGGTAAGAAAAAATTGACTTCTTAAATAAAAGGGTAACTGTCTATCTCTGGCTGATTTTTATATTTCAGATCCACCCATCAACACGGAGGCCAAGGAAAATTTAAAGAGCCAAATAACTATGGCTCTTCAAATTACAAGATCTGTGGTTTTAACGTGTCATTGTGACTTGAACTAGCTGTGATTCTTTCAAACAAGACTTACTTCAAATGTGATGGTCCAGCATCTCAGTCTGGCTGGATGACTTGTGCTTTTGTTTTTCCTCTCTGCATCAGTTAGTTGGCGCCTTGGATTTTGAATTCAGTTCCCTGGACTATAAGGGGTTGAAGATTTGATTTAACCTATATTTAAAAAGGCAGTGATCCCAGAACAGCAAATAATTCCTCAAGGAGCTTATTGTATAATAAGGTGGAGATAAACACCGTCAAGACTTGCACTGTAATCAGTGCTGCCACAGAGTACTGGTGATGTCTCTGGAGATGGAGTGGAAAACACCCCATCCTTAGTGAAGGCAGACAAAGAAGGCCCCACTGAGAAGCGGGTATTTGGTGTGAACCCTAAGGGAGGGAGAGATGGAAAGAAGGAGAGGAAAGATGCTTGCCTCATTATGCTTGCCTCCTCTCTTTCTCTCCACAGATGGAAAGAAGGAGAGGAGGCAAGTATTACGAGGTAGGAAACCTGGAGGCATTCAGGGCACAGCAGGTATTGGATCAAGCTGAAAAACAGACAAAATGAGGACATTCTCCACAGGTGTCCAACACTCAGTTACATGGAAGTTTATTCTGATCAACACATCGGCCATTTTACTGAGAACTAAATGTGATTTGGTGTTGGCTCCTTCCTAAACTTATAAAAATAAAACTCCGATCTTAAAAATTACATTGTCAGCGTAGGTCCTAATTTGTGGTCCAGAAAACACCTGGGCATCAGGCCCACAAGGGGGTTAATGGGCTGTGGACACTGCGGTGCAAAGGTTTTCTGAGGGAAGAAGTGGTGAGGTCTGGGCTTAGAAAGATGAATCAAGATGCAGTGTGTAGGAAGTATGGGCAAGGGAAGAGGAAAGCCACTTTGAAAATTACTCAAACTAAAGCGAGCGGCTGAGAGTGCGAATGACCGTGACTGTAACGACTGTGCTCACTGGACTTCATAAGTCATTACGGTTGTCTTCTGTTTTTGTCAATATCACAAGGGAGCTTGACTCGAGCAAAGGAATGTATTATATGACTTTTGAAAAGGGTATCTTTTAATTAAGGTTTTCTTTAATTTTTCAGTATTAAAATTAGACTTTATTTCCTGAGCACCCACAAATGGACCTGACAAAGGGAAGACACAGATGTACTGTGTGATGGGGAACGTCTGTCAGGATTAAAATACGGCCGTGAGTAACTGTGGTCCTTCTTTATACTTAAAATAGCTGCCATGTGTTATTAGGAAGATTTCTGATGGTAGTGTCAAAATCCTTTGAAATAATAGACTTACACAGATTTCCCTGGTCATCTAAAAGACAGATGTCATTATTCAGTTAAAAGCAACCTTGCACATTTTCTAAGAATCATTTTTACCAAAAAGGGACATTTTACTGCAAGACAGTCATTTAAAAAATTTACATGTCCTGAGATATTTTTGTATTGTGATAGCAAAATGACTACATTTATTTCTTTTTCTCCACCTTATAATAGCTGATGCGTCCTTCAACTTATACATGCTGTTGGAGCTTTCTATATTGGTAAATTATTGATTAGCTGATTGCAGGTTTAAAATCAAGCAGACTCTTCCGGGGGTTTCAATCAGTCCTGGGAAAAATTGTGAAATAGTCAGCACTGGTTTCTGGGTCTCTTTATCCCTTTAGCAACCATCTCCTGATTGTCTCTACCCACCATCCCTCATCCCTCTCCCAAGGCTCTCCAGTGGGCCCCCTGCTCACACCACCATGCCTGTCTTCCTGTCCTGTCCAGGAGTCCCTCATTCCCAACAAGGTCTTCCTTCAATTGCCTTTCTGCTTACCACATTTCCCCCTCCTTCAGGCGGGAACAGTCCTCACAAATTCCTGCTAGCACATTAATGTGCCACTTTCCTAGGTAAAATATTGCAATTTAATAGGAGACGTTGACACTTTGACTAAAAGCAGTTATTTTTATAGGAACTTAGGCACCACAGTGTGCTGGGGGATGAGAGGTTTACAACTCTAAATGTGCTACAGAGTTTAAAAAATTCTTTGACCTCTATTTGCTCATAATTTGGTATATTAGGAAGGGTTTGGTGATGAAGACGTTGGAGAATACACATAGTTATATTTTAGGAGGCTTCTCAGTGCAAAGAGGGCTAACCCTTCCTTTGTACTTTGCCTTTTAATCAGTAGAGGATGGTAAAACTTCAAAATAAAACTGATTTTAAAAATCATTCTAATACTTGGCATCCTCATGCAGAATCTGAGTCCCAGAGTCATTCCCAGGGTGGTTGAAGAGGCAGATCTGGCAGATAATCTGAATCAGGATGAATAAGTTATTTGCTGGAGTTTCTGGAATGGTTGCCTGTCACTGCAGCCCCCAAATGAATGGTTTGCTCGCTCTAATTCCTGAGTTGTGGGTGAAGCCTAGAAAGTATGACAGTTGATTCAGGAGAGCAGGATCTGGCATTTGCCCTGTATGGAAGAGAAGGCTGGGGAAGACTGCTCCTGGGCTCACAATGTTGCTCATCAAGTGGAGACCCCCGGTGGGAAGGGAGGGACTGAGCAAAGTATCGCGATACTAGTCAGCCTGCTTTTGCAGAGGAGGTCATTCTCAAGGACTCCAAAGGTTCTCTATCTAGTTTTTGCCTGATTTTTTGGATTTCACAGATCCAGAAATCCTTATGTCAATTTATACCATTAATGGTCTTTTTTTTCTTATATTTCCTTCTTGGATTATGTGGTGTTTTCCTAAAGAACTTTCTGAAAATGGCCGGGCGTAGTGGCTCATGCCTGTAATCCCAGCACTTTGGGAGGCTGAGGCGGGCAGATCACCTGAGGTTGGGAGTTCAAGACCAGCCTGACCAGCATGGAAAAATCCCGGCCTACTAAAAATACAAAATTAGCCGGGCATGGTGGCACATGCCTGTAATCCCAGCTACTCAGGAGGCTGAGGCAGGAGAATCACTTGAACCTGGGAGGCGGAGATTGCGGTGAGCCGAGATCACACCATTGCACTCCAGCTTGGGCAACAAGAGCAAAACTCCATCTCAAAAAAAAAAAAAAAAAGAACTTCCTGTCTCAGCTCTGTTGAGAATGGGCAAAGAACAGGACTCTGGCCTCATTTGGGTTGGAGGGAAAAGGACATGGAATGAGATTCTGATAATCCAGCAAAGAGAGCAGGGATCACAGTGAGAGGATCCTCAGTAGGATATGAAAAAGCAGAAGGAGCAGGTCAGGGATGGCCTCAGCATCTGCTCCTCTGTCATCAGTGGGCTTTTCTTTGGCCCAGTCCTTGGAGAATTTTATGTTTCATATGATTAAGTGTAGTTTGAATCTTTTTGGTGGACACAGGAGGCCCTGTCTGATGTGCTGAGGAGACCTGCATTGGAGGCTCTGGCCTCCCTTTCTGCCCGTCCTTTCCTGGCCCACAAGGAATTAATACCCAAGGCTGGGAGGGTGCTTAGAAACAAGCAAACCAAAACAAAAGCTAGTGCATTAACATCCTCTAAATTCCTAAAGAGCTTATTTATTAAAAATGCAGTCAAATTTTTATCCCAATCTTACTTCAAAACAAACATGAATTATAAATGAGTTTTGCAACTGTTCTAGCCTTTAAAATAATTCAAAGTGATAGAGCTGCAAAAATGATGCATTACCCAACTGGTAACTCCTTCCTCCCAGATCCTGGCTGAGATCCCCCTTATAAACTGTATTTTAAACAGTGATTTTATAAACTTTGAAGTGTCAATATAATGCAGACTGTTATACTATGATTACTAATGCTGTACTTGAAGGCAATGATTATAAGTTAACTGAAGAAACATTGTATTGATACTTTAGGTCACATATTCTATTTTTATTTGGTTGTTTATTTTCATTGAACAAAATTTATTTTGTGTCCGTGTTAATTTCCATAACTAGTTACTGTGCTGTGTAATTTTTATTATAAATGAATTTATAATAAATGTTATTTAATTTTCTATACAGTAGTGTCTAATGTATATACTTTTGTTTACAATGTGATTTAAGTAGATTTACTTCAGTATCTGAAGCTTTTAATGACCTCTGTGTATACTTGTCATGTATATACTTGTATATTTCTATGGTAATATATACTTGTATATTTATACAGTAATATCTATATATCTAAGTTTTTCCACCAGTAAAATTAAAATAGTGTTAGCTTGTCCTTTTCCTTCTCTTCCTCTGTACCAAATAGTCTTAAATGGTAGGAAACCACTGTAAGGAAAACTATCCTTTTGAAAATATGCATCGATCAATTCGTTTCTCTTGGCTTAATTCTCTAGGTGCTTCCCAGGGTCAAGTATTGAACCTGGTCTTTGTTTTCTGAGGAAAAAAGAAAAAGCAACAGTAACTTGATGGTTTGGGAGTCTGAGATACCTCCGTTCTCCCTTGGCTCAGGCAGTAGAAAGGAAAGGAGAAGCAGCATAGCTCCCTTAGTTGTATCTTAGGTGAAGCAACACTTGGCTTTGTTTGTTTTTCTTTTTTTGTATACTTTTCAAAGGGTTTTCACAGCTCTTCATCCTGATTACAGCACCATGAAAGATGCAGGCATTTCTACTTGCATTTTTATAGCTTAGTGACCTCTCCAAGGTCCCACACTTATTTTGCAGTAGAGTGGAGGCCGGAGCCCAGAACCTGACGCTCCTGGAGAAGGTTTCTATTTTAGCCACCTTTTCTAGCCTCAGTTTCCTTGCACTGGGGCTACAGAGATCCCTGCTTTCATGAAGCTCACAGTAAAGTGGCTAACGTGTGTCAGTTTAGCCACGGTGCTGGCTGAGGCTCGCTCAATGGTGCTATCATAAGAACAACGTGAGAGTAATATTAGTGGAGCGGAGCTGAAGGAGACTTGGCAGGGGAGGCTGGGTTCGGATGTCAAGTTGACAGCACACCCTGAGGTCAATATTACTGTGCACATTTCTTATCTTCTATATTATAGTTGTATTCCCTGCCCATCCCTCCTGGCCCCAGGTGGCTCTTCTGAGAACAATCTGGTAATTTCATGCAAGAGTAAAATATCTTTCCCCATAATTATACAGAATTGAGTATCTCTGGTGAAAAAGAAAGCTGGTTTACAGATTTCTTTTTCTCTCTAAAAAATAGGACTGTGAACCTAAAAAATAAGGCTGCTATTTTATAGGTATTCCCTTCCCTTCCTTTTTCCCTGTAGATAACTCAGCCTCTCCAGAGTGCAGCCACCATGACCTCTGCAGATTGATGATGGAAGAAAAGGAAACCAGGACATCCTGTGCTCTGGCTTCCCTGGACCATGGATGGAGGACAGCCCATCCCTTCATCCCTAGTGCCCCTTGGGAACATATCAGCAGATTCTAGCATGTCCCTGGAGCAGAAAACGACATTTGTTTTTGTGATTTTGTTGTTTATCTTCTTGGGCATTCTCATTGTCCGGTGCTTCCGGATTCTTTTGGATCCATATCGAAGCATGCCAACCTCTACCTGGGCTGATGGACTTGAAGGCCTGGAGAAAGGGCAGTTCGACCATGCCCTTGCTTAGAAGGGATGGCGCAGGATCTCCTCCTGAGGAGATGAAGTGCTTCGTGTCTTGGCGAGGATTCCCTTTATGTAGTGTTCTCAACAAATCAAATTTAAACAATATTTGGTCCCAGGACCATAATCCATTATTCCATAAATATGCAGTTGGATTAAAGGCATTTGGGGATGTTGGAAATGGACATTTATATAACCAACACAACATAAGAAGGTTTAAATTTTTATGTTTGCTCAATGAATGAATACTCTTAAACTTGTGTGATTGTGAAACCAAGAGCATCAATACTGACATAGATTTGCCATCAAACACACACCACCTGATCTGACTAAAGTATAAAAGACTAGAAAGGATCTCATATGAATCTGGTGACAAGATCAGGAAGAGATTTCCTTGCTCTAATTATGTCTATATTTGTTTTATTTCATGCGCATCTATCTGGGTCTTGAGCAGAATGAGGAAGATTGCGCTGAATGGACCCAAAGTAGTTCCTTGTTTTCTCCTAAAGCAGGGAGCATTGGGAAGCAATGGCAAAGTTTAAGAGATGGTTCTGTCCTTGGTAAATGTGAGTGACAATTGTGTTTTGTTTTTCAAGTAAAATTTAATTCAAAGGCTACAGAGTTTTAAAAACTATTTACCAAGCCAACTACATTATATGTATTCATATTAATAACATGTGTAGAGGTAGCTATACATTACTTGAATTTACTCTTTACACAAATGATTTAAATAATAGGCTGCAAGTGCAGCTTCAAGTTTTTCTTTTAATGAAAAGTCAGTTGTTTAGAGGAGAAGACTTTTAGTCTTCAGAGGGATGTGTATTTATGATTGTATATAGTCACCGAATAAAACTTTCCAAGACACAGAAATGCTTCCTCTCTTATTTCACCAGAACTAATGCACTGAGGGTGCTACCTGGTACTGAGTGCCGAGGCTTAACATTTTTCCAAGAGAGGAGAAAAGCGCTAACAGCATGAAAGGTCATCTAATTCATCCCTCTCCCATTTCAAGAAGAGCGCCTATAAATTGTCCTGCACAGATAAAACCGATAGTTTTTAAGACCACCAAAAAGGGAGATGTGAATACCTCTTATTTCAACTTTTATTGGAAGGAAAAGCTTGTATCTAAACCAACCCTGCAGATAACTCAGCCTAAACCGACCATGTTAGGCTGTGTTTATAATCTCTGTCTTCTAATTTTCTCCTCAGCTAGTCATTACCTTTTTTAATTAAAAAAAAGCACACTTCTTTAACCTATTAATTGTAAGATTTTCTTTTTTTTTCAAAGGTACTGTGTCGTGTGTGTCCTCATTAATTTTTTTTTGTATTTTTGTTAGAGTCTGTTCAACCCACTCATGTATTTATGGAGCTCTTGCTTTGAGCCTGGAATTGCTAGCACCAGAGAGAGAGAAAACAGACAGGGCCAGTTCTTAATGTTGAATACTTTTCTACCTTGTTGGATGGAGAATACATTTAAAAAGGCATATGACTGAATCATTGTTCAAATGACTAACATGGACTTGATGGTTCCCAAATCATCAGAATCAACTGGGGAGCTTAATATGTGTGCTAATTTGTATTATTTTTTTACATTCTATTTTTATTTTTATTTTTTTAAGAGATGTATTTTTTTTACATTCTATTTTTATTTTTATTTTTTTAAGAGATGGGATCTTGCTCTTTCGCCCACTGGAGTGCAGTGGCACAATAGCTAATTTTCATTATAAAAGTTGTACATCATCATGGCAAAAAATTTTTTATACAATATGGAAAAATATAAACAGCACTAGTCAAAATTCTACCAGCTTGGGTCACCCTAACTCCTAACTCCAATTTTTCCTGGGGAGTTTATTGACAGTGGACATTATTACAGCGTTTCATCCCTAGGGGTTGATTCTGTAGAGTTGGGTTAGTGAACAAATGCTCCAAGAGATAAAACATGAGGAAATATGAATGTAGCCAAAATAATTAAAGAAATGTCCAGGAGACCATGAATCAGGTATAATTGTGCATGTTTAAGTGCTTGGCATAGAGTTTAATGCAATGTAAGTTATTATTATGAAATAAAATAAATCTTGACCTATGATGGAGGTAGTTGATGGAGGTAGTTTAGACATGTGCAAAGCAAAGGAAGAGGGAAAACCATAGAATAAGGAAACAGAGGTATGGGTGTGGGGCTCAAGGCAGGAGTGCAGCCTGGCTGGAGTAGAGAGTTGGAGAGGTAGCTGGAGCTCCTATGGGAAGGACAAAGGCAGAGCTAGACCTCAGAGGGTCCTAAAGAGAAAAATCAAGGGTGGGAGTCACCATAGATTCACGAGGAAAAAATGACCTAAGGAGTGGTGTGTCAGTTCCAGCTTCCGTGCCCTTCCTCAGGGCAACACTAGGATCCATTTCTATAATGGGAACACGTTGAAATAGCCACCTGCTCCCTAAGAGGTCTTTGAGCACAGGCATTGCCCACAAGTGCCACAGGGCCTCCCAAAGTCTGCCCTTCTTTCACTCCTCCCTTTATTTCCCACTCTATTTTTGTTTTCCCTTCTTAGATTACTGCTCCTTGTTCAACCTCCCTTCACTGGCTCTCCTGCCTCCTCCCTTGTCCAGAGCAAGAGTACCATCACAAGTGAAAAAAAGCTTTGGGCTATTCACAGTAAATTGATCCCCCCAAAAGAAGTGCTAACTCTCTGTTTTAATTACTCCGGGCTTCTTGGAGTGAACAACTGATTCTCAAAAGGTCACATAAGCTCTCTCTTTCCTGGCTTTCTGGCTAAAGGAGTTACAGTGCAGCACTTTGCCTATCTCACAAGATATTTATAACGAGTGCAGCTGGCCTTTATGAAGTATATCTGCATCCCAGGATGGGGGAAAGAAACCCTGGACTTCCCAAGGTCACTCTCTGGAATAGACCTGCCTTTTGATTCAGAAAAATGCGCAACCTCATTCTTAGCCTGAGCTCGAAATCACAACCCTATGTTTTATTCCCCCAGGGATCCCAAGTTCTAGATCAACATTTCTCCCTCCAAGAGACCTTTTAAAATACTTTAAACACTGCGTAAAGCAAGTTTAACTTGGGTGTGAAGGAGCCTAACTTGACCCTGCTGTTAAATTAATAAACATTAATAAACATTTCAAGACAGGCAATTCTTTTGCTATTTTTAAGGGTTAAGGCTGAGGAAAAATAAACAATTTTGAGAGGCAAAACTTAGAGAGAGCAGATGTTTATGTATGCAGAAAAAATATGTATTCAAGTTCCTTTTATATTGGATTCATTGCAGTGTTTTACTGAAACACTGAAGCTTTTTTTAATGTGAACATATTGATAAATTTGGTACAATGAGAAATTTCACTTGTTCACTATTAAATTACTTTTTTAAAAAAACCTTATAGTTTCAAGATGTCAACTTTCAGAATTGACATGTAAAATATATTGAAACATGGTTATTTTCAATAAATAGTCTAAGCCCAAAAATATTGAACAAAACCTAAGATATGATTTGTGAGATGTTTGTCGACCAAGAAAAATTATGTAAGATGGGTGTCTCAGTTATTGATTAATCAAAAAGTTGTAGAGTTGAGCCGTGATCTCCAGAAAGTACCCAAATGACTATACGTGTGTATGCGATCCAGGATCCAACTGGCCTACTCCAGAAGAGATTTTTTTTGTTTTGTTTTGAGATGAAAAAGGAGAACCCTCTAAACTTTGTACTTCCCGTTTCTAACAAGAATAAATGAATTATTTTCAGAGAGGGGTGTGCTCTGAGGACATGAGGCCTCCCCATATGGCATCTTGCTCTGGTCAGGTGAACCAAGCCCAATACTTTAGCCAGTCTTTAGTCCTTTCCAAGGTCATGTTTTTATAATAAAGTTCCCAGCTGCATTTAGTACAGTGGAAATTTTGCCTTCAGTTTCCTGCTATAAACTGTACTCATGTCTTTTTCTAAAGCACCTCAAGATCATCTGAGATCCCTCCATCCCACAGCCTTTCTCAATATCCTGATTGATGTTTCTCTACTTTCCGTGCTTCAGAGTAAGAGAAATTCCCTTTAAACTATCTTTTCAAAGAGATTTCCACCCTTATTCTCTTCTAGGCCTTATGACCAGCCCCAGAGCACCAAACTTATGCCAGCTTTTAAGAAAGAGGCTCTTCCTGGGTTCTTTGGAGTTTGAAAAGCTGGAAAGAGACATTGCTGTCATCTATTTCAACCTCCTCATTTTACACACAAAGAAGCAGAGAAGCAGAGAGGTCATATGGTATGACCTTGGCCACTTCTCCACCCACTGGTTGTAGCTGTAGCAACTTACATATGTGGTGTGCAAATGGGTTCAAACAGAAGGGCCAGTTGATAAAACCATAAATAAAAATATCCATTTGTTAATTGACATGAAAGTTATAATAATCTTAAATAGTCTCTTTTGGCAGGGATGAGGGAAGACATATTTTGTTTCTGAAAAAAGTCCTATGGATGTTGTATTTTCTTTTGCAACATTCTGAAGCTTCAGTTTAAGTGTCCAGGCAACGAGAAGTATTTCCAGTTAGATTGTAGAGAATGCCTTAACAAAAATTCTGTTTCTCAAAACACAGCATAATCAATCTAGGAAAAAGAATCAAAGTTAGTTTCTTTTTTTGTTTTTCTTTTTTAAAAATTTCCAAGTAGATTATTAAGCTGTTTTTCTTAGCTAAAGAAGCTTGACAAGGGATATTACAACATAAATTTATAAAGGCTCTGGATACTGCTCTGTCTATGGCTTATCAAAGAGTTATCTGGATCCTCTTGGGACATAGATATGACTTCAGAAAATATACAATTAAGTATTTCAAGTTTGCAAGTACACTTTATCCTTTTCTGTTCTGCCTTTTTTCCTAGTTACTTCACTTCTTTTTCTCCCTCTACTTTCTGATAACTGGAGTGCTGGAAGAAGTTTGATATAACCACTACATTCAGTGATTCTCTGGTATATTAATATTTTTCTCAATAGTCAACAACAAGTGGCTGCCTAGTTTCTTCCTTAACATGTCTAAGGTCTTAAAGTGACCATCCCATTTTTAGCTTGTTCTGTTGTTTATAAAATATCTCTTTATCAATCCCAAATTTGTCTTTCTGTAATTTTTGCCAGTTGAGTCTTGTTTTGTCTTCTGGAGTGACAGAGATTTCTAATACTCGTTAACATGCCAACTCTCAAAATATAGTTATTGTTGAAAGTCACACTCCATGGATCATTGCTGTTTCTGCATGTTTTTCCAGCAGAGGCACTGACAACGTTTTGTTCTTTTCAAAGAGATTTGTTTAGAGATAGTATCTCCCTTTTCCTAAAATCGGCTGGGCAGGTTTGCTTGCAGCTCATTATGAAAGACTGGGTTTTCCTAAGCTCAGAGTTCCCCTCCTGTAATGCAGCCCATTGTGTGCACCAAGCACCATCTGGCTTTTTTTTGTGTTGCCCTGTGGGAACTGGAGCTTAAGGAATTGGCACAGGAAAATGCTGATACTCAGTGTTGTGATTGCTGTAAATGATAAACTGTCCTTTGTCTCTGACCCAGAGGTCTTGTGTCTTCTGCCAGCATCCATGAAACTGTGGCAAACTAGTTATCTGGAAAGTAGGGTAAAATCTCAGATCCTTCATTGTTTTTTACGGTTATCATATTCCCCCAGGATAAACAATTCCAGCTCCTTCAACCACCCTATATAATTTTCACATGCTTTGAATTATCTCTTATTCTTATCAAAAATTCTGGATGCTCTTCAGTTTGACCATCTCGTTGGTACCTAGAAAGGAAAATAATAGTTCATAGGTGGTCTGACTAAAATGAGGGGAATCAAATTATCACTTACTTTGTTTTGAAAACCGCATGACTTTTTATACCTGACTCCCT